AGATGATGTTTGAAATCCATTAATTTAAAGTGGGTAATAAAAGTGTGGTATCAATGAAGAATCTATTTATAAATTGTGTTTTTGATGCATTAGTTGAATGTTTATTAATCTTTAGGTAGATTTACAAATGTCATAGAAATAGGAATTTCAGGACATGCATGTATTCATTCAACACACTCACTGAATGCTTACTTTGAACGGCATTCACTGTTCGAGTGAAGAAATAGTGAATAAAAAAGACTAAATCGTTGCTTCTGGGGAGCTTAGATTCTAGTCGTGAGAGGCAGACAATAAACCAAAATTTTAAAAGAAATTTTAAAAGAAATAGTATGCTAGAAGATGGTAAGTGTGACGGAGACATTTTTTAAAAAGCAGAAAAAAGGATAGGATGTGGAACAGGGGTGGAATTTTAAATAAGGTGGAAAATGAAAGCCTCCCTGAAAAGGTGGCATTCGGGCTTAAAGGAAGTGAGGGGTGAGCCATGTTGATACTGGAGTAAAGAACATTCCAGGCAAAGGAATAATGGGGAAGGTCACATGTTTTCCAAGCTTCTTGGAAGGTCATGGGATAATAGGAGGTAAGGTCAGAGAGGTAAGAGAGAGACTGTGAAGAGCCAGACTGGGGGGGAAGTTAAGTCATTGTCAGGACATGGGCTTCTACTCTGAGTGATGTGAGAAGCCCCAGTGATGGCAGGTGGGGACCAGAGGACACAAACATTAGTGGCATATAAACAATTTACTTTCATGACCCAGGAAAAGTCAATTGTATGAGGTGATTGCAATAACAGTGATTGGATCAGGTCAAATCCTGAGTGCACTTGAGCCTCTCCCATTTTCTTCTTACTAATACAGCAAAATGCTGGAGGTGAAAGTCAGCCTAAGTGAAAGATCAAATGAATTATAGTCTATTTCCAAAAGAAATACAGTCCTATTACCTTCCACGCATATAACAGCAACAGCTAAGCTAATGGCAGTGCCTAGTAGGGGGGCCTGCTTGAGTAAAAATTTATGAATGATTTATAATTAGTCCATTTTTATGGGTTTCTAAAATGCCTGAGAAGATTTTATTTAACTGAGTCATGGGAATGATCAGCCCTTCAATTTCTTTTTGACTATTCATTTGCTTGGCAGACCCTCTGTTCTATAGATGCTGAAAAGGTTAAGCTTCAATCCAGCCCCTGTCCAAATGATAACAAATTGTGAATTTGTGAAATTCAATGAATAAAGATTTACTGTAGCATTAGTGTCTATTTAGAGCCACACAGGATTCTACCCATCTGACAACCTAACCATGCAGAGTGCACAAAATGAACACATTCCAGCGAACTGAATATGCGGCACAGAAGTTAATTGCCCTCTGGCCAGTGATAAGGCACCTTCAGTAGAAGTGGGTCTGAACGTTTTTAGCTGCCACTGCACACCATTGGCATCTACCCCCGGGACTCTATCCTTAGACTCTTTGCAGTCTGTGCAGGGTAGAACTTGGTTAATGGCAAGAGCTAACATTGATCGAGAGTGCTAGCTGCGTACCAAACACTGTGCTAAATTCTTTATAATTATTATAGCAGGTGATCCTTACAACAGCCCTGTGGGGTAGGCATTTTTATAATCCCCATCTTCTAGGTAAGGAAGTTAAGAATCCAAGAGATGAACTGATTTGTCTAGGATCATTTAGATTGTAAGCAGCGAAGTAAGATTAGAATCACAGTCCGGTTCTTTGACCTTAACCACTTCGTGTGTTCTAAATACCTACATTAGTCAGGTGCTTAGAAGCCTTACAGCCTGGGCCAGTGCTAGTAATACTGCTTAGATGTTGCTGCTGAACATGTGATGTGTAGCAAGAACACTGCGTGTTGATAGGACTCTCCTATTTCCTCCAACTGTGCAATCACATTTACCCTCTCCTCCTTAAATGTAAATGAAGATGAGATGTCTGCCTAACGGGGTTGTTGTAGGGATCAGTTGAAATAATCTATGTGGAAGAACCTAGTGCCATACCTAGTATATTAACTAATTATACATGCTTCCAAATCCTTTTGGATACCCTGACATGACCTAGCTGTCCATTTTTATCAATGTGATAATATGGATGTTGTCCGTAAAAGGATATTTACAAATTCATTTTAAGGATTAGAAAAGGATAGGTTTTCTGTATATCATTCATATCCCCCTGTCCAATCCTTCTTTCATCCACGGGCATACATCTGGTAAGTAAAAGCTTTATAGTAAATTACTAGATCATATACAAAAGAAACCAATGTCCTTGGTCTTTATCAGCCCCAGTTGGGCCTCCTGGCATAGTCCCTAACTGGCTGGCAAAGCTAAGATCAATGAATGCCATGTTTAGTCCTTCAAGATAATTTAACCTCCTTCTTTTTTACTGGGTTTTATTTTTTAGTCCTTTAAAATGAAGAGGCCCTAAAAGTAAAATCAGTTAATATTTGATATGTTCATATCTGATACCCTGAGCCTGGCTGTCAGGAGGGTGCCACAGCTTTCAATTCAGAACAATACTAGAACCGGTAATAGTCCAAGAAAAGAAAGAAATAAAGAAAGAAAGAAAGAAAGAAAGAAAGAAAGAAAGAAACCCACACATGCAGTGTGACTGTCATTTGCACTTCTTTGTAACAGTCTAGACATACTGTATGGAGTGTTATCCAAATGTGATAATTGGTAACTAGATCTTTGTGCACGTATTGGGCTTACCTATAAATTACAATTTGGGGCTTGCATACCATTATTGGTCTGCTTGCCTGCAGCCTTCCTAGATTCAACAGAAGTCTCACTGTTCTCTAAGAAAACAGAGGTCTTACAGGGTCAGCCCTATATAATAGCAACTATTAAATATGAAGCATTAGCTTGGAATTTATAGCACATAACTAGATGAGAATGTGAGTCCCAGTTTTGAATTGGATCTGTGTTTAGTTTTTAGAATTGACTTTTGAATATCATTTGGACATTTCTATTTATTTAAAGTCTATTTCTTTTCAAAAATCAGTTTGGATCGTGGAACTGACAGGTTGAAACCTGTGCGTGCCCGATCTGATTATTACTAGTACGTTCGTCACCGACTGAAAGATAAAGGTGACTGCCCATTTGAAAAGCAGTTTTCCATTGTTCCGTGTATTATGCACCAATTCCAGACATCAGAGAACTCCTTTAATCGGCCTGATGTTTTTGCCAGCTTTTCAGTGCATCCAGATGTTTAATTAGCAGAGTAAAGAGATAATGTGCTAATAGACTGACAACAACGTATTGGAGAGGGAGGTGGCGGTGGCCTCTGAAATCTATAGAAAATCTGCTAATATGATTTGCTGAATGAGGGGAGAAAGGAGAGCAGAAGGGGACTTCTTACTGCAACAAATCCACGCTTAAAAGTTAGTCATCAGTGAAAAAGAAAGAAGTCTACAGAGAAGTAGAAACCAGGGCAAAAAAATGCACTGAACAACCAGGGAAGGCAAGAAAGCAGCAAACCGCATTTTAAATCAAAGTAGTGTCTGTGGTACAGGGAATTTTAAACGACCTCATGTGGGGGAAAATATTCCCTGGGTGCCCCAGGGCTGCTGTTCCAAATGTCTACTCTCTTGGTGTTCCTGGCTTTCATTGCCCCCAGCTGTGGTCCACCCCTGTCCGCCTCCACGGGGGCACCCACGTCAGGAAGGGAACAAGCCAAAGAGCTGCGTGAAACCAGCGCTGGCAACTTTCATCATCAGCCTTAAGGAGCCGGTGATCCATCTGAACCTCCGTGTTCCACTGCCAGCCAGGAAGATTAGCATCTTTATATTTACCCTTGTTAAACATCTAAATTAGAGCTACTTGTCTGCTTTAAGGACCTTGGAAGGACTTTAATTTTTTTGCTTGTTGGGGGTGGAATGAAGTGTCCATATGCTCCGTTAATCACTCCAGCCCCTTCTCTTTGCACGTAGTCTCTTGGAATACTTACTGCACTTTTAACTCGTGTAAGAGTCAGCTGTTTATACACCTGTTTCTCCTACTAAACTCTGAGCTCCTGAAAACAGGAAAAGAGTCTTTTTCTCTATTTACTTCCCCAATCATCTAACACAGTGTTTTTGCACCTATTAGATTCTCAGATGGTCTCCCCTCCTCCTGTAACCCTCTGCCCCTCATCAATTCCTCTACCAAAGAATGCAACCTTTATGTGATTTTTTATTGGTACAACCAGAGATTTGAGAGTCTTGAGTAAATAGTGAAGGCCTACAAAATGAAAGAGAGCAACTCATCACATTCATATACCTGAGATTTATTAGTACTTGCATCAAATAACCGCGGTTAGGAACAAGTAAGCACTAGTTGATTCTACAAATTCAAAAAAAAAAATGGTTCTGAAACAGTAGTGTGCCTCAGATTCACTCACAGTAAATATGCATAATCCTGGGCTTGAAGAAATTCTGATTTAATAGGTGGGGCTCAAAAATGTGTATATTTAATAAGCTCCCCAAGATAATTGGCTACACATTTGAAAATCACTGCCCTGCCCCAGACACAAATTATCACTATGAGAATGCCCACTTCTATTTTGAGAATTACCACTAGACAAGAATATTAGGAGATGTTTTAAAAAACACAAACAAATTCAAGTTGGCAAGCATTTGTTAATTGTGTGCTCATGAATGCACATGGTGTGAGAAATTCAAAAGAACTCTAAGAATAGTTGCTATCCTGGAGGAATGGCCTTGCTGAGGAAGAAGGAAACTTCTAAAGAGAGTGATACCTAATGGAAGACTCTATCCAAATGTACACAGTACAGTACAGCCCATAAATGCTGGAGAATTCAGGGAAAAAAGATTTATGAGCAAAATAGTTTGTGCCATCTAAACTCAGAGTAATTTTTCATGAGAAACATGCAAATTTAATAGATCCTAAACTCAAAACATGGACAGTTACCTTTGTCTGTATTCTAGATTTTTCTCCATCTGTGCATATTTTAAACAGTGTTGTTTCTCTTGAAGCTAAATTTCAAAAAGCATATTTTTTTTTCAGATGGTTTGACTGACTGTGTGGACCCTGATTGTTGTCAACAAAGCAACTGTTATGTAAGTCCCCTCTGTCAGGGCTCACCAGATCCTCTTGACCTCATTCAGCAAAGCCAACCCCTCTTCTCTCAGCACACTTCGAGACTCTTCTATGATCGAATCAAATTCCTCATGGGCAAGGACAGTACTCATGTCATTCCTCCAGAGATCTCATTTGACAGCAGGTATGTATGTATTTATTTTGTTTCTTAATAAACAGTGGTCATGGTTTTCCTTAACTGTGAAAGGAAGAGGTCTTCTAAAAGTCACGCTACTTTCCATTCCACACAGTATGTATCAATTCCTTTTTTAGGCATCTCTGGAATGGCCAAGACCTTACTGATTGGTTAAGAATGAGAAGCCATTTCTTGAGATTCTTTATCGTAAAAGATACACATATAAATGTGTGTGTGTGTGTGTGTGTGTGTGTATACAGTTGACCCTTGAACAACACAGGTTTGAATTTCACAGATCCACTTATATGTGGGTTTTTTCGCAGTACAACAATGCAAATGTATTTTCCTTATGATTTTCTTGATACCATTTTTTCTCTAGCTTACTTTATTGTAAGAATACAGTATACAATACGTATAACATACAAAATATGCATTAATCAGTTGTTTATGTTCTTAGTAAGGCTTCTGGTCAACAGTGAGCTATTAGTGGTTAAGTTTTTGAGGTATCAAAAGTTATATGTGGATCTTCCAACTTCATGGGGGAACCCTAACCCCTGTGTTGTTCAAGGGTCAACGGTACACACACACACACACACACACACACACACACACACACACACGTATAGTATGTATTATTTGTAGCAAAGCACAGATGAGGCTTTTAATGACAAAAACAGGATGGAAGTATAATTTGCAGATTTATTGTTTAGCTTCTGGATTTATCCCTTGAAAACTCCTGAATTTCAAAAGCCAAATGTTAAGTTTTATTCCTTTATGTAAAACATTTCTATATGAAAGATTTGGCTGAATTTGACGTCTTAATGTGAAATACAAGACTTGTGAAAATCTGTCTTCTAAGAAAACTCAAATGCATGAATTGTCACTAAGACATGAGACCAAAGCCCAACCCAGTAGGTTAAGAATTTTTTCAAAATTAACTTACTTGTTTGAAGTATAATCACATGAATTTGCTCATTGCTATATTCTCTGCTTCATCTTCAGCAATGATATATTTTACTAATTAGCACTAGACATAAATGAGTCACTGAAGTCAACATTTCTGGTCTCTTAAAAATGTCCTCCTGTGTTCGTTTCACTACCTTCTAGATTGTTACAAATGGGAATTTGAAACATGCAAAATATTTGTCCAGTGGCCCCTGTCTACACCGTGCCCACTTAGTTGCATCGTGGTGGGTGCTATCAGTCCCCAGAAGAAAACTCAGTCAAGAGTTTATATTAATACAAATGATAATCTAAGAAAATCACCACTCAATCTTGAGCTACACAAAGTAGTAAACGAAAAAGCCCAGATGTGCATGGAAATTTAAAACATTTAGCAGCATCCCTTCCACAGATTGTATGTAAGAACTGATACTGAAACTTAAGGCATCCTCATTGTTTTTATTATTGTTCGGGGGTGACCTTTTAGGTGTCTGACAGAACCCCAAACCAGTTCTGCCAGGGGATCGAGTTTGTCTTCTCCCAAGAGACTTAGTCCTCCCCATTCTGAAGTGTTTCTGCCAGCTCAGTAACAACTCCGGGGAAACTTTGTGATGGGCTGCAGTCAAAGTCATTATTTAGGTAGTGGAGGCTTATTTGTTGTCCACCAGAGAAACAAAAGGAACAAAACACAGCCATTCCCCCCACCCTCCCTGCAGCTTTCTCCATGCTTAGGGAAAAGTGAGTCCAAAACAAAACAAAACAAGAAAGTGAAAGAAATAGCAACCTCCATGTCACGGAGGTATGTTAAATGACTCACTGAACTCAAGTCAAGGGAGACGGTCAGGACCTGAGAGAGGCAGGACATGAGTGGTCATGACCCAGAGCAGGACACTGGCGCGATAAGCTTTGCAAAGTGAAGAGAGACTTCCTTCCTTGTGGTTGGGCTTCAGGCTCCAGCCACTTGCCAGCGCTGGCAGAGTGAACAGACCTATTCCTTACCGTAGCTAATGCCCCCTCCTTCTCCCGGTTTGCCCGAGTTGTCTTCATCCTTTTGTCAAATGCTGCAAGTTATCATTTGGCGCTGCAAGTCACATTTGAATTCAGAACGACAGGTCCCCTTCATCCAGTGGTCTCAGCTATTACAGACCTATCGAATCTGTCAGAAAAGGCGCAGGTCTTTTCCAAGGGATAGAGTTGAGGGCAAGCAGTCTAGCTCTATTGCCTCTAAGAGATCAACCCATGCAATATCACTCTGGGTAACGTAAATCCGACTCTGTTCACATATATAGATAATAATGGTTACATCGAAACAGTACCTTTTTCATTTGCAAAGCCCTCGAACAGGCATTATTTCATTTTACCCTCACAGTAGCCCCGTGAACTATACATCTTTGTGTTAGTGCATTTTATGCATGAGGAAACAGGTTCAGAGAGATTAAATAACGCCCCGCGTCACACAGCCACCGAGTTTGTATCATAGCAGCTCTTATAACTTTTCTGTTATGCCACAGCTGCCCCATTTCAACCTGTCCTTAACTAAACCTGGTGGCTTGGATCTAATTTATACTGGATGAGTTATGTCGGGGTCACCACAAGAAAAAAAAAAAACAAGTGAAGTTAAAAATCCAGTTCCATTTAATACATTTCCATGACGTTATTTGGTAGAAGAACACGGTTGAATGACGGCTGAGATGGGTCTTTCCTATATGCAAATTGTTATTTGGCAATTATTATGTGTCAGGCTTCACACTAAGCTTTTACATGTGCTATCTCATTTAATCCTTACCCAAACTCCATGTGGTGGACACTGTTATTATGCCTACTTTCCATGTGAGGAAACAAGAACTGAGGTGTTAAGTAAGTCGTTTGCCCAAGTTCACAATCAGTGAGTGTCAGAGCCAGGATTTGAACCCAAGTAGACCGGTGCCGAGAGCTTGACCTCGAAACCACTATGCCAAGCCACTTTGGCTCTTTGGAAGGCTGGGATGGCTAACCCTGAAAAGACTTACAGCCCTTATACATCCCTGACTGTGGAGTTGCATGCTTCAGACAGATCTAGAATGTTTATGTGCCATAATCAGGCAAACCACTCTGCTTGTTTGCTTCTGCCACATAATTGAGAGATAGCTGGATAAGCTGATGAAGAAAGCCTTGTCAAGGGGCTCATTTGCCTCCTGGCAAAATGTGACCCCACAGATGACTCACCACTGAATGTTGCCACCATCAGAAGCCTTCGGAGCTCAAGACAGTGGCGCGTAGGTGACTAATTGTTGCAAGGACACGTAAAGGTTAAACATCTGTTCATCCTTGTGCATCCAAGTGAGACTAGCTTTTGTTGTTTCAAGTTTGCTCCACTGGCACGTGAGAGCACATGAAATGTGTACCTCCCGTGCCCCGTGATGGCATCATGTCACTGTGAACATGTAACCTGCCCACAGTCGCATCTCTAGCAAGCCCAATTCGGTTACCGTTTTTTCCCTCAATACCTTTTACCCTGTAGCCTGAGTTTCATCTTTTCGATCTACTCCAACATGACTACAAAGTAAACCACCTATTATATATGTGCTCTGTATGACTTATTACTTTTTAATAATGTAAATAGGTGAACAGAAGCATTATTGATCTTCAGTGTCTAAGCATTTAATCACTATTAATAATGTAAAAGGTTTTTATAAATATGTAAAAACAAGAGTACATTAAACTAAACGACAGCAGTAATTTGCAAAGCCAGACATTTCACTAGCCATCACTAATGGAGAAGTGCATTTAAAAAACAAAATCCTACCAGGGTTAGTGCAACCGCCAACAGCAAGGTCTGGCCAAACTCATTTGTCCGTTTTGTAGCCATGAGAGGCTGACCCCACATCAATCCATGTCAGGCATCTACACCAGAGGTTGCTTAGCATCAGCCCGCAGATGTGTTTTGTTTGGCCCAGCATTTAGAAATTAGAAGATCTGATATAAAAATTGGAAGGTTTTCCTTCCTTAGAAAATTTACGAAGCGCGGCATCTCTGCACCCATGGCCGTGACATAGGTGACTGCCTCTCTGGATAGGATGTGACATGTCTCTCCAGTCACCATTCCCTGCTCCCCTTACACCTGGCTCACTTCCATCCCATTCAGTGGCACGCCTGGCCCGGCTGGAGTTAGAGTTGGTAACCTCTGGACTACACAGCTTTTATAGCCTTCCTTGGAATGACCTCAAGTGTTTGGTTTTGTCTTTCTTCTCTGTTTCCCTGAGGATCTTTAAAAATCTCATCTTACCATTTTACTTAATTTGGGGCCTTTTACTATGTTGGTTTAAAAAGAAAAAAAGGTGACTGAGCATGAACTAGAAATCACATGAATGGAATGATATTTCCACCCTTAGTTCACCAGGGCACCTGTGTATACCCTGTGAATAGTTGGTATACACTCTGCCTCACACCTTAGGCCAGTCACTCCCTTGAGGCAGGGGATTTTAACCGATGGCATCATGTATCACCAGTCATGACTCAGGTAGTCCAGGTCCCACTTGTAGTAGGAGCAAAATGTTTACTTTCTATGAGAAGGACATTGAGAGGCATTTGGCTATTGTGTTTATCACTTAGAAGGGTTTTAAGAACAATTTAAAGATTTAAAAATTTGCAGCAATACTGTTGGGTGAAGTTATGGCAGCCTCTTCTGCCCACTCCTGGTAAATGCCCACCCTTAGTTGAAAAGTTCTAGAGTTGGGACCAAATTTAGTACAGCATTACGTACATAACAGCACTGTTAGCAGGGTGCAGAGTGAAGAGGTTGAGCAAAATGATAGGTTTCTTCTAGTTTCTATGAAGTTGCTATATTTCAGTTTCTTGCTCCATACTGGGATTTATACAGTATTAGCTCTGGATTGTTCTAATTGCTAAATCGTGAATTCTTTCAGGACAAGGACCAAGTCTGATTTGTTCTCTCCTTGTTTTGATTATCTATTGCTATGTAGAAAACTACTCCAAAACATAATGGATTCAAATATATTTTATTATTATATATCATGATTCTGTGGGTCAGAAATTCACACAGGGTATGGCCAGGATGTCTTGTCTTT